TGATTCAAGAACCTGTTCCTTACCATCTGAATGGGAAGCTTTGTGTGAGACCCTATGCACATTTGAGCACTGGAGCCCTGAAGCCTTTAAGGACCTTTCTTAGTCATTGCCATTCACTATCCCAGAATCTTAGCATGTCTTTCCCCTAGGCTTTTTATTTATAAGCCAACATAGACAAAGATAACAACAAAGAAATCCAAACCGAAAAAAACAGGTAGAACTAAGAATACATAGATTACTTCTAAGAAGCATTAATGGGGAGTGAATTTTAAAAAAGAAGTGGGAATTTCACATGTGCCTCTAAGAAATCAAATTGCTATGTACATGTTCATGTGCATTTATATATATAGCTCCATAACCCCTCATCCAAAACCTTTGGGTCTAAATGTATTTCAGAATTTGAAATTCTTTTTTTGCCTTTTGGAAGGTTAATAGGATTTATATACCATGTGTTATATGTCCCCATTAAAGCCAGAAGCAGCACCTTATAAGTCAAACAAGCATATGAAAATTTATTTGGCAGAAACATATATACTCTATGACCCAGCCTTTTCACTCCTAGGTTTATATTCTTCCAACAGAAATAAGCACACACGCACATGTAAAACACATGTGCACATTATGGCAGCTTTATTTGTAATAGCCCTGAATTAGAAACAACACAAGTGAACATCAACATTAGGTAAATTTTGGTATAAACAATGGAATACTGTGAATTACAGCCATACACAGATAAATATCTCAAAAACAATGTTGACTGAAAGATACCAGACACAAAAATACATAATGTATGATTCCACTTAGACCAAATTAAAAACAAACTAATCTATGAGATGGTGGTAATAGTGGTTATGTTCGTGAGGGGACACTTTTGGGGTGATGGTAAAACAGTTCTTGATCTAGGTGGTGGTTGTATAGGTGTGTTCATTTTGTTAAAAGTTCATGGAAAGCCTATGTGCATGCTATACCTGAATGTAAAAGTTAAAAAAAAAAACGCTGCCACTTAATTTTCTATCATCTTGTTTCTATAATCCATTTGAATCTTTCAAATAGATTCAGATATTTATGGAGCCCTACTAATATGCCAGGGACTACACTAGGCATTAAGGATACCAAAAGAGCCTTATTTATTTATTTATTTATTTATTTATTTATTTATTTGTTGAGATAGGGGCTCACTCTGTCACCCAGGCTAGAGTGCAGTGGTGTGATCTTGGCTTACTGCAGCCTCGACCTCCTGGGCTCAAGTGATCTCCTACCTCAGCCTCTTGAATAACTGCCACTACAGATGTGTGCCACCATGCCCAACTAATTTTTGTATTTTTTTGGTAGAGATGGAGTTTCACCATGTTGGCCAGGCTGGTTCCGAACTCCTGACCTCAAGTGATCCACCCACCTCGGCCTCCCAAAGTGCTGGGATTACAGGTGTGAGCTACCGCGCCTGGCAAGAGCCTTCTTTATTTAGCACAGAAGATTGTTTAATAAATACTTCTTGGTTATATTGCTTGCCTGTTTTGTTAGATCCTACATAAAACAAACTCTTAGGGGATAGAACTAGCTACTGAGCTGGTGTTTCTACCGCAGTTCTAACCATTGGTCCTTGCAACTATTGCTTCTGGCCACTTCACTTCTAGCCCTTTGGGTCAGTCAGCTAGACCCCCAAACAGTTCACCTGGGATGGCTCATGGAGAAAAATCCATGCATGGTGGCTGGGGTGGGATGGTGGCATCTCGGAACCTCACAGCACTCCCCTTTTCTGACCTGCTGATCTACTATTTCCCTGATTCTAAACTCCTCACTCCATTCCCCCAGTCCTTTAGTCCCTTACTATGGTCCTTGCCCAACATGGCATCTTTCATTACTGAACCTGTTGACCACCTATTCTTTCTCCTTCCATTTGAATTCAACTGTTTGGTGGTGGCATGAGCAGGGACATTGATTAAGTTAGTGAACTGCCATAAGTATTTGTAAACCCAGTGTATGCAAAAGCCATTAAGAAAATGAAAATTCTCCTGGCCCTGGATTCCTTCTATGCAGCACTGCTGATAAGAAAGACGGGTGAAGCAACGTGTGGTCGAGAGCACTTGGTTTATTTTCACCAGTGGCAACAACAGAGGGAGGAAAATGCACGTGTGTGTCCTGCAGTTCTCAAACTGGTAGACCTAAAACATTTTGTGGACAAGTTGAGCCCTTCCTCGTACTGTTTTAAAGCTGCTCCCCACTCCCTTGAGGCAGTTCATGGTTCCTACTTGCTGGACTTCCACCTGTGGTCTGGTTTACCTCTCTTGGGGTTGCAAGAATATCTTACCTAAATAGTCACTTTCTCTGCATCCCAAGGATCTTGTTGATTGAAACATCTTATTGTATGAGTCAGGTTTATCTAATTCCACTGATTTATTTCCACTAATAAAACACAACCTAATAAAATTCTCAAATATGCATGAACACATAATTATATCCCTTGAAAAATACAAAACTTGTTATAAGGTACATTTCACATGCATGTTACTTAATAATTTCCCCTACAACATAGTAAGTTGCCCTCATTTTTCCTCGCGTTAGTAAACTGGCATTTGGATTTCAGCTTCCTTACCCAGTTGTGGACTTTGTGTACATCTTTAGCCAGTGTGTCACTTCTGTTTGTATTTTGGACCCTAACTTCTCCTTACACCTATAGAAATAGATATTCTTCATGTCCCTGCCAATAATTGGAATGCAGTATTTGCATTTCCTATTCTGAGGATCCTCAGTACTACTTGTTTTCATCTGACCCAGAAAAATAAAAAGTTAAGAAAAAGAAATACTAAAAGGTATTTTTTTCATTCAGCTAGTATGTATTAGGCATTTAGCATTACCAGTTACCACTCTGGCTGCTTAGGTATATAATAGAAAGACATACCTTTAGGCAGTTTTCCACCTGGGTGGACCAGGTGTTCCTTGCCCTCATTCCCATAAACCCACAACCTTCCAGCTTGGGTGTTAGGCCCATTATGAACATGTTATAGTGCTGCAAAGATTTGGTTTATGGCCAGTCTTGGGACCAGTTTATGGCCAGATTTTGGGGGGCTTGCTCCCAACACCTTTTTACCTTTTCCTATGAATAAAACTCCTGGTTATTTTCTTTCCATTGAAATACATTTCATGTCAAGTTGGGTGAGTTAAAAAACAAAAACCAAAAAATCTCACAAGCTTTCAGTGAGTTTGTCATTGCCTCCCAAGTAGCTGGGACCACAGGCACACGCCACCATGCCTGGCTAATTTTTAAATTATTCATAAAGACGGGGTCTCCCTGTTGCCCATGCTGGTCTTGAGCTCTTGAACTGAAGCAGTCCTCTCACCTCAGCCTCACAAAGTGCTGGGTTTACAGGTGTGAGCCACTGTGCCAGACCTTGTGATGAGTGTTTGAAGCTATAAAACATCTGCATGGATAAGTACTAACATAAAGAGATACCTTAATGAATTACCAATGAACTGTAGTAGAGATAAACCTATGAATGGGTTTAATCCATAAGCTTGCTAGCTTTCTTATCAAGCCTCACATGTCTGTCACTTAGGAGAAGCCAGGGACAGGGATTCAGTCAACTGAAGGAGTGAAATTAAGTAAAATGAGGAAGCAAGCAACAGAAGGACATGGAATAATCAAATAGGAGCTGAAAAATTAGTGTGAAATTAATTCATATATCCAAAGAACAAGGCATACATACACACTTATTATATTTGAGCTCTTCAAACATTCCAACATCAGGCATCTAACATCAAAAATATGGACAGGGAGCGGTGGTTCATGCCTGTAATCCCAGCACTTTGGGAGGCCAAGGTGGGTGGATCACTTGAGGTCAGGAGTTCAAGACCAACCTGGGCAACATGGTGAAACCGTCTCTACTAAAAATACAAAAATTAGCCAGGCGTGGTGGTGCATACCTGTAATCCCAAGTACTCAGGAGGCCGAGGCAAGAGGATCCCTTGAGGCTGGGAGCTGGAGGTTGCAGTGAGCCGAGATTGCACCACTGCACTCCAGCCTGGCTGACAGTCGGAAAAAAATAAAAATAGGTAAAGATACAATTAATAGAAAATGGGATTTATACATGACAAATTGTACAATGTACATATGTAATTTTAAAAAAGTAAACAATTGGCCAGGCGTGGTGGCTCACACCTGTAATCCCAGCACTTTGGGAGGCCAAGGTGGGTGGATCACAAGGTCAGGAGATCGAGATCATCCTGGCTCACACGGTGAAACTCCGTCTCTACTAAAAATAGAAAAATTAGGTGTGGTGGCGGGTGCTTGTAGTCCCAGCTACTCAGGAGGCTGAGGCAGGAGAATGGTGTGAACCCGGGAGGCGGAACTTGCAGTGAGCCGAGATAGCGCCACTGCACTCCAGCCTGGGTGACAGAGCCAGATTCTGTCTCGAAAAAAAAAAAAAAAAAAAATTTCCAAAGACCACAAAGTGATTTTGTTTTTGTATGGTTTTATCTAGAAATATTTATCATATAGAAATGAAAACTGAGAAATTTCTTCAAATTTTTATTAGCCATTTACAAGTAACAAAATCCCATTATGTATAAACACGTAAATAACATTTTTGACAGTTTTTATTTTTTTCACATATTAAAACCCACTAAAAATAACCATTTTTCTAACCAACAACAAAAATCATTAGTGACAAGAGTACTGCTGCTTTACATTTCTCCAAATTTCTTCAATGTCTGATGACAGACGAAAGTTGGATTCTCATATCTGCTTTTGCATTCAGCCTATTATAATATCACACCAGATAGCCTCTCAAAAACTCCTCTGCACACTCATGAAAAAATGAGTGAAAAAGATAAATGATGGCCGGGCGTGGTGGCTCACACCTGTAAGCATTTTGGGAGGCTGAGGTGGGCAGATCACTTGAGCTCCAGAGTTCCAGACCAGCCTGGCCAACATGGTGAAACATCGTCTCCACTAAAAATACAAAAATTAGCCAGGTGTGGTAGTGGATGCCTGTAATCCCAGCTACTCAGGAAGCTGAGGTAGGAGAATTGCTTGAACCCAGGAGGCGGAGGCTGCAATGAGCTGAGATCGTGCCACTGCAACACAGCAAGACTCCTTCTCAAATAAAAAAAAAGGAAAAACTATAAATGATGAAATGGTAAGTGTTATAAAAACAGCTTTGACCTAGAATACCCTTGAAAGGCTCTTGAGGCCCCCCCGCCGACCACACTTTAAGAACCACTGCTCTAGACGAATCTCTTCATTTTACATGTAAGGACCCTGGACCTCAGAGAGAGTAAGTGAGAAACTCAACATCACAGCCTGTTAATAGGAGGATACAGACATTAGATGGTTTGTCTCACTTCTGTTGGTTTAGGTTCTCAACTGGAAACCTGGGAAATACACCCTAATGACCTGTCCTATTCGCTGTAAGTTGCAAAGATTGCCACAATTTATTTATTACCCTCTCCCCCACATGTCTTTAATAAAAGAGGTAATCAACAAATTTGGTAAATTTTGCAACAGGCATACTGTGTTTGAACATAAACTACAATATTTGAATTCAGGTCTCTATTTGAACAGAAACACTAAGGCAAATTCGACTGCATCCTACTCCATGCAAGCTAGTAATGACAAACTGCACAGTAAATATCATAGGTAAATATGGAAAGCAGATTACCCATAATATCAGTATTTATCATAGATTCTGTGTCTGGAATACAATTCAATGACATATTTCAGAAAAATTTTCTCAAGTACTGGCTGAAACGGTGGTGGATACATTAAGAGATTGCAAATAAATTGGTGATCATAAGATCTTTTTTAGATAAAATGGAGTTGTTCTGCAATGTAGACATTTTTCATTCCCTAACTAGACCTTATTCCTGTGTTTTTAAAGAAAATCAAGAAATCTTCTCAGCCACCTAGAGATGATTTCCTTTGTATCCCACCAGATGGTTCAGATCTTCTTTAAATGGATCATAGCCTTGTTCTTTTAAACAACGCAGTCCCCAGAAAAGCTGGTCCAGAGGAGGAAATTCTTCCCAAGGAACCCACTCCCAACCTAGAAAAGAAAAATGCTAAATCAATTTATTTAGCTAACAGAAAACATAGGGTATTTATTTGGGTAAGCTAACCTATATTTAGAAAAAATTAATTGAATTTAAAAATAACTTGCTACTAATAAACTCTAATAGTAATGCTTTACATTTGCTTGGCTATACAAATATAATTTGCATGTAGAATGAAGATCTTATGAAGAGAATGGTGGTCATTTAAAACATTGTGTTATTTGAATGTGAAGCCCAGTTTACAAAGGCTATGCCAGGGTAAACACAGATTTAGTATTAGTCAATGTTTATTTAAATATTTTTGTAAAAAATGCAAAAAACTTTATATACTATAGGTTATACTACATTAAAATAAACCATTTCCTTCACCTATAAAATAAAGTAGATTACAAAGTTTCTAAGATATCCTCCATCTCTTAAAAAAGTATGAAAGCTGTGCAGAGGAAAATAAAATATTGTACCTTGGCATATTTTAGATAAACAAATACAGAAGATAATTTTTTAAAATCCATTCAAACAAGAAAGATTTAACAGTGTCTATCAGTTATAAAGTACATGAAATTCTAGAAAAAGATTCTAGAGAATGGTGTTTTCTTTCATGATTTAAATGTAAATAACATAGAAGCACAGATGCTTATGACAGGCAAATACCTACATAATATATTAAGATATACACTCCATGTTCTGTTTCTTTATGATCACCTGTTTTTACTACGTGTAAGCACTAAGTATCTCTCTGCCCATAAAATACAGGTATACAGGTATGTATTTTCACTTTGGGAATGCAGGGGCCAAAAATCCATGAAACTGGAACAAGTACAGGAAGAGACGATTAATAACTGTAACCATACACTAATGAGGTGGTGTGGTGGGCGGGGGGGAGAGAGAGAAAGAAAGAAAGAGAAAGGGAGAGAGAGAGACAGATTGAGTACCCAACAATGCGGTGCAAGATGCTTAATTAACCGGATCTCCAAAAAGCTGTCCATGAAGAGATTACCCCATCCCCTAGAAAATGAAGTGTCTGGATGAGCCTCCAAACTATAATTAGATGGTTGGAGGAAAGATGCACTAAATAGTAAACTGAAGCAGGCTATCCAGATCCAAGGCCTGAGTAGCATGGGACAGAGAGACTGTATCTTTATACTAGAAAGAAAGCAAAGACCTACCAAGCCCTTGCACCTTGGCTAGGCTGCAACTGGTTATCAGTATAGCTGGTTATCAGGCTGCAACTGGCTGTCCTTTGCTTCAGAAATGCCAGACTTTGTCGTGACTTGGGCGCTTTTTATAAGGTGGCTTCACATGCATACACATTATAATCAACCTCTCTTTGATGAGAGCGCTCATAATAGCAGTTCTCTATCAAGAAATCATACAAATCTATTATAATACTTCAAAGTACCTATTACCTGTTTATAATACGTAGAATAATCTACATAACTCAGTATAGGTACTATATATTATATATAAGGTAATAGATAAGCATAGATACAGGAAAATTTGTAAATTATAAATGTCTTACAAAGAAAAATTATGTCAATCTATTTGAATAGTTTACAGAGTAGTATGATTTAAAAAAAAAATCCCCAGTTGCTAAAATATCACACTTTTCCTTGATAAATTTGATTTTTATTAATTTGGCCAAATGTGTATTTTTTTCCTAGTCTTAAAAAAATTGGCACAATAGCTTATGCCTGTAATCCCAACACTTTGGGAGGCTGAGGCAGGGGATAGCTTGAGCCCAGGAGTTGAGACCAGCCTGGTAACATAGTGAGACTCATCTCACAAAACTTTTAGTGCCACTCAGGCATGGTGGTATGCTGTAACCCAGTTACCCAGGAGGCTGAGGCAGGAGGATTGCAGCCAGGGTCGGGGCTGCAGTGATGTGTTCGTGCCACTGCACTGAGCCTGGTGACAGAATGAGACCCTGTCTCAAAAAGAGAGAAAAGTAAATTTTTAAAATATACTTCAAATTGTTTATGTAAAGGAAAAGTAAGAACTAGATTAATTACAAATAGAGCTGTTCTTATCTATGCTTCTTTTTTTCTCCAGATGTTCTTGCTCCACAGTATCCATGGCAGTCAAGTGACATGTCGATGAATATGTTACCACCAAATCATAGTAGTGATCTTTTGTTGGAACCTCCTGCATAATAAAGAAAATGAAGATGATGTAGAGATTATGTCAACGGACTCTCAAGCAGAGTAGTGAGTCTGATTGAAAACCGTAAAAGACAATATACAGAATTGAATACTGTAGAATTCCATTTTTTTAACAGCAGTAGGAAACAAACCACGGGTGACAAAAGAATAACCAGGTAAATACTGGCTTTGTAGAATTGTGCAGCCAATGAAAGTCAAAGTAAACTTTCTTTTTAAAGCCAAAGATTATAGTTTTAGTTTTAAGCCACTAGGTAGATATTTAGGGGAATAGTCAACATTTACTGTTGAAAAGAGAAAGGAGTTGCTATGTGCTGTCTTACTCCTGTTCTTGTTCCAGTTTTGCTGGATTTGTACATAGCCGTTCTAGAAATAGGAGTTGAGGGCGGATTCAATGCATATATCACTAATAGGCTTCTTGGAATTATTTAGAAAGCATTTTTGTTGGCAGTGGATGACTGAATAAAAACAAGAAGAACACAACATGGTTTTTTTGTGTGTCATTTAAAAGTAAATAAAACTCCTATTTGACAGTAAAGGCTCTGGCTTCTGTTGAGGAATGGGAAATTGTCTCACTTGTACAGTTTGTAATTATTGTAATTTTTGTAAATAAATTTGTTTGTACATTGTATGCTTTTTTTTTTTTAGTTTAAATATACTGTCATGTAGGTGGAAATTATTTCTGTAACTCCAGTTGCATTTTTATACTACTTGAGTGACTAATTGAATTTCCAACCCTATTACAAGTAATAGGTTTTCAAAGGCCCACATTCCTATTAGAAGAAATAATTTTTTTTTTTTTAATAATTGAAAACTTACCACAGCCTTGTCTGATTTTAAGAATAGATTGTGTGAAAAGATTTAGAATGGAAAGCAACCATTTCTTCCTTCACCTTCTCCTCTTGCAGTTCCTCAGGAGTCACTTCTTTTAACCACTTCTGGATTTCTGGTGGTAACTCTGTATTTAAGCAATATGCTTATACAACTATTTCTTGATGTATCAGTTTTAGACAGTGTATCTTCTGATTTCAAAGGTAATACAACATTTAATGTGAAACATTTAGCGAATACAGTAAAGCACAAAGGAGAAAATAAAATTACATCCTACCCAGAGATAATATCAATTCATATTTTAGTGTAGATTTTAAAGTTCATATATACTTTTTGTAAAATGAGAATATTTCCTGAGATACTGCTGTATTTTGCAATTGCTAATCTGTATTCTTCAAATGAACTGAGAATTCCATTTTCCATCATTTTTCCTTGATTATTTTTGATCTCTAGAAAAATTGGAAAATAGGAGATTAATCTTACATTTTCACCATCTAGAATTAAGAACATATAATGTTTGAATGTCTTTCCCCCCAGGGTTATTTTTATGAATGGACTAACACAATATCTAATTTTAACCTTTCCTTGTCCATATACTAAGAATATTGATCCATGTGGATACATTCTTGAAAGATTTACTTTAATGGCTAAAATTTTATTGTGGTATGTGCCATAATGTAACTGCTTCTTTTTATTAACACAAATATTTAGGACAAATTCAAAAGGATTGTGTTTTCAAATTTAATACTGTATTAGTTTCTCAGTTGCTGCTAAACAAATTACCACAAACTTGGCTCGAAACAACACAACTTATCATAGTTTTGTACCTCACAAATGCAAAGTGGATCTCATCTAAAATCAAGGTGTGGGCAGGGCTGCATTCCTTCCTGGAGGCCATAGGGGAGAATCTGTTCCCCTGCCTTCAGGTTTTACAGGCCGCCTTGCTCCTGCTCCAGGCCCCTGGTTGGTGAGTGTTTCTCATTCCGCATTAGTGTGATGCTCTTCTGCCTACCTTTCCCATATTTAAAGGATCCTGTGATCATTCTGGGCCCACTGGATAACCCAGGATAATCTTATTTAAAGTCAGATAATTAGCACCCTTTATCCTGTTTGCACCTTAATCTCTTCCTTTGCCATCTAACAAAACAACATTCATAGGTTGTATAGATTGGGATATAGACATCTTTGGGGGAAGGGGGTCATTATCCTGCCTTACTGAAATAATCCAAATCTCTTTTCCCTGAAAATTACACAAATGTACATTCCATCAGCTTTACAGAAAGACTGAGACTTAACTATATAAAGTACTAAGTCAGATATCATAAGTCTATATAATAGATTTCTGAAATTTTTTTTTAAGTTTTTTTGTGTGTGTCTCAGTAGATTCCCTTAGAATAACTGCTCTGAAATGATTTGTCTATAAAAGATCATACATCAAATTTATCTTCAGAAACGAGGCCACTAACACAAATGTAAGAAGTGGCTAGATACTACTTAATAGAGTGGTAGAAATTTTGGCCAAAACTAGAGTGTATGCCCAGGCATTTAAAATTAGATTATATAAACTGTGGGACAAATCTAGCCCAAAAGTGCCTGTTTTTTGTTTTTTGTTTTTTCCCCAGAGATGAGTAAGTCTTACTGTGTTGCCCAGGCTGTTCTTGAACTCATGGTCTCAGGCAGTCCTCCTGCCTCAGCCTCTCAAAGTTCTGGGATTACAGGCCACCATGCTGGGCCTGGCAAGTACCAGTTTTGATATTGTATAACTTTGTGCAGTTGTTGCTTGGGAAGCTAGAGTAAGATCTGCCTAAGAATTACGATTCTGGAGGTTGTGAGTGGACAAATCCATGCCCCTCAGCTGCATCCGCAGCTATTTTTAGGTAAAGGGAAACACCTTGGGGCTAAACGAAGGGGGTAGAGAAGAAAACATTTGCACACTTCTGTAAGTGATTTCTAAATTTGTTCATAGGAAGTTATTATCTTGCATTTGATTCTCCAGTGTCCCCTTT